TTCATAGCCCTACTCCTATCCCCTCCTCCCTGCTTCAAAACCACAGGTCCCGGGCCAGCTCCCCGGCGATGCTCGCCGCGTTCTGCCGTGGGGCAAATGCTGGAGTGACAGGTCCTTTGAACAGCCTCTTAGCTGAGACGCTGGGAGCTCATCACAGGCTGCCAGGAGAGGCAGGCCTCCGCTGAGATGTCACCCCAGAAGGGCCCTGGGGAGCCCCCAAAGGCCAGACTCGGAAGGAGAGTGAACCCCTGACATCACAGGCTCCTCCTCATGCCGAGCACATCCGCAACAGTTCTCACTGATGCCCCCACACGGGTGGTTCTCAGCCTTCAAGGGGAAGTCCTGTAGCTCTCTGACACCCCACTGGAAGCTGCAGACTCTGCCCCCTGGTAAAGTGGCCTTGTTGTTGCATACAAAGAGGTCAAGGTTAAGAGCTCCGGGTGAAAATCTGGGCTGTGTTAAGATTCTCTTAGACTAAGGGTCTTCTCTTTTAGATTTTCCATTCCTCACCATATTAAATATTGTTAGATATATTCACAACCCACATTACTCACGCAACACTCACACACACTTATACACACACTCATACACACACAAACACACACACACACACACACACACCTACACACACCTACACACATTTACCCACGAGTTGAATTGCAGTTGACTATTTGTCATGATGATATATTTTGTGGCCATGGAATAAAACTTTTCGTTTTCATTTCTTTGTTTTCTCTTCCTATGTTTGAGCCAATAAATTTTTGACAGTAAAATTTATTGAAATGCATCATACATACTGAAAAAATAGATCTTAAATGGTTAGCACCTAATTTTTTTTAAAAAAATGAGCATGCATGAGAGCCACACTTTGGGAGTCCCCAAAGGGCCCTGTGCCCCCTGCAGTCACTGGCCCCGTGTGGGGTTGTCCCAAGGCCTGATGCCAGTCACTGGTTGGAACTTGACCATCAGTGGAACCATAAGGCCCTTGTTTACTTCGTGCCTGGCTGTCTCTGTAGAATCTCAGAAGCATCCATCTGGGTCTCGGTCATTTTCAGAGGCTGCGAGAGCTTCAGAGCTGCAGGTAGCATCAAAGACAGAGGTTCTAGACCTTGCCTTCACCCTAGAATCACCATGGAAATTTTCAAATCCCTGAGTCTCAAGGTGCACCCCAGAACAATAAAACCAGAATATTTGGTCACAGGACCAAGCCTGAGAAGATTATCTTGAACCCCCAGCATATGGGGGGAAACTGCAGCTCCAGTTGCTCCAAGATCCGGAAAGCCAATCCTTCGTGAACGGGGACATTTTCTCCACCCTTGGTGAACAGAAAAGCCCAGAAAGTTCTTCCAGAGCTGTGGAGAAAGGTGAGGTGTCCCAGGCTGCTGAGGAATCCGCCCACCCCACCCCCGAGAAAGACAGCGTGCTCTAGGACTGGCCATAAGGAGAAAGGGGCACCAGCAGCTAGACTTCGTGGGGGCCCCAATACCTCCTGGATACAGGAAAGTCCTTGAAGTGGGGAAGGGCTGCCAGATTCCCGGTTGGGGGATTTTCAGCACTGACTCAGGTCTGAGTCCCGGGTGCAGCACACAGTTCTACCACTCGGCGGCGCCCCGAGCTTCTGTAAACCTTGTGGTATCACACAGCTCTGGGCCTCGGAAAGCCAGGCAGGAGTCAGGTGGCTGTGCAGGTGGGCGGGGATAGGGGAGCACAACCACCCAGAGCTTCTCAGGGGCTCAGCCTGGCCAAGGCGGCACAGTGTATCTCTGTTCCTGAGGTCTGATGGGGTCTGGCTGGTGTGTGTGTGTGTGTGTGTGTGTGTGTGTGTGTGTATGTGTGTATGTGTGTGTGTTTGTGTGTGAGTGTGTGTTTATGTGTGTTTGTGTGTATGTGAGTGTGTGTGAGTGTGTGTGTGTTTATGTGTGTGTGTTTATGTGTGTGAGTGTGTGTGTGTTTATGTGTGTGTGAGTGTGTGTGTTTGTGTGTGTGTTTGAGTGTGTGTGTGTGTGTGTGTGTGTGTGGTGATGGTGGAGGTGGGGAGGTGGGCGTGCAGGGACATGGCTGGGACCAGCTGGGTATTGAGAGAGGTCACCTCCCCCGCATCTGACCCTGACAGACAGCAAACCACGCCTAAGCCGACTTTCCCCCACAGACTAGGGTGCCCCTGTGGGCACCACAGGTCCTGGGGCGCACAGCCCACCCACATTCCCGTGATGCCCTGGGCTTGGGCGGCAGCAGACCTCCCTCAGAGCCAGCTCAGGCACAACTCCAAGCCCTCCCTGGAGAGTCTGCCAGGTCCTAACCCGAGGAGGCCGAGACCCTCGAGCTGGAGCTCCGTCTTCCCTGCAACTCAGAGGCAGAGCAGGCTCAGCTGGGAGAGTCCCAGCAAGCTCCTCCGTGTGTGTGTGTGTGTGTGTGTGTGTGTGCGCGCGCGCTGCCTCAGGCTCTGCATCTATAAAAAGGGATAACAGCCCTGTCCATGGCAGGTGATTGTGTGGACTGAACAGCAAATTATGGAGCGTCTTCACCCAGAACCTAGTGCTTGGCACATAGTAAGAACTGGAAAAAAGATGTTTGTTACTATTATTTATTCTTTCTCCTATTGACGTGCCTGGAAGGAGTGAATGGCCTGAAGGCGTCGCACAGCCTGTGCTGGGACAGGTTGGAGCAGAGGCGAGGCAAAGATCCCGCTGCTGACTGCAGTCCAGGCCGGCCTGAAGGGTAGCCCGGACCCTGTTCGGGGACCCACAGGGGATTCCCCTCCACCCCACCCAGCAGCTGGGCCACCGCCCCTCAGTCCAGAGGTACCGTTTGTTTTGTTGTTGTTGGGCCACACACAGCTGTTCTCGGGAGCTGCTCTGTCCCCCGGATCAACATGTTGGGGATCGGGCAGTGCTGGCCATTAACCCTGGGCCTCCCACGTGCAGACCCTGCTCTGTCCATTGAGCTATGACCACAATCCCATGCTTTTATTATTTCCTTTTGAGCAGAGCCTCATACATGCAAGGCAATGGGAGGCCGTGGTGTTATCTTCTCAGCCCGAGGACCCAAGTATGTGATCCTGGAGGGACAATCTAGGCCATGCCCATGTCCCAGAGAGCACCAGGCCAGGAGACCGTGGGTCTCTACCTGGCATTATGTGGTGGGGAGCAACTCACTCCCCCTCTGTGGGTCTCCATCCGCCCCTCTAAGATGAGGGGGCTCATTCAGGAGATTGTTAAATCCCTTCTCTGCTCTAGAGTATAGTTTTAGCAATGTGGCAGGTGCTGAGTCAGCGTTAGTTTTCTAAGACCCTTGACACACACTTAGTGTCACGTGACCCCGGTGACTCGGACCCTAACAGGTCAACCAGGTTAGAGTCAAGAAATGGGTACTGATCTAAGTAGTAATTGCTCACTTTCCACCTGAAAAGTGGAAATTACAGCAATTACAGCAAGTCCAATGCGCTTCTTCACCCACAGCCCATGACTCACACCAAGGTTCTAGATTATTGGGTCCAGTGTCTGCCTCTTCTCTAGACCACAAGCTCCCAGGCAGGGCCCCTCCAGCCACGTCCAGCCCCCTGCCTTGTCAGGATGTGTTCGGGCCATCTGCATGGGGGTCCTCCGTGATCCTGGGTCACAGGAATGGCCCCATTCCTATCGATGGGGAGAAAAGCACCAGAGCCTCAGCTATGTACATTCCTTTTATTGGAAAAATGAAGTCACAGACAAAAATGGGCACCTTGTCACCCAGGCCCAGCTGCCCTGTGGGCTGGGAGAGGTCCAACCACGCCCCATCCCAGCCACATGGAGGCTGAAAGTGAGAGGGGGAGGGGAGGAGGGATGGCCACGGAGTGAGTCCAGGTATGGGGAGGAAGTAGTGGAGCTCAGCAGGCTACAGCTGTCCTGAGGGGTCCTTGGGCTCAGGGGCTGGGCCCACACATACACACACACACTCTCTCTCTCTCTCTCTCTCTCTCTCTCACATCTCTGGGTGCACCTCTTCTTCTCACAGCTCCTCTTTGGTTCCAGAAAGTTCTGTGCAGTCACTAAACTTCCATATCCAGACAGCTCAGGCAGGCAGCCTCCTTCTGGCCATCTTCAGAACACCCAGGTGGGCCCTCAGCGGCCAGGCCTCATTGGCCCAGTGGCCCTTGTTCCTTTCCAGGAAGAAGGGAGCCTTTTTCCTATGGGCTTTCTTGGACTGTCCCTGGGTGCCCCGCCCATGCACCTCGCCTGAGAGTCCTCATCCCAGAGCCAAGCAGGCATCATCTGCAGTGTGAGAAGGCCTCAAGGGGGGGAACGCTGCCTGCATAGAACCCCCGCTTCAAGGTAGACAGTAGAGTCAGAAGGTGAGAGACCCAAGCTGGCAGCCCCCTGGAAGGGGGTCAAGGGAATGGGGACTTTGATTTATAGGGGTACAGGCTGGCCCACACAGGAATGCAGAGATGGACCCACAGGAACCGCAGCGCAGGGATTCTGCAAGCAAGCAAGCTCACACACCTCTTACGGTGCAGGCTCAGATCCCAGAAGCTGGCCTTGGTTCTTAGAGGTCCCAAGCCCCCAATATTACCTGTCTTCAGGAAGCATTTTCCTAGAACCGGGGGAAAGAGCCAGAGCCCCAAACAGTGTAAACCACCAGTTCCTGGTAGATGCAAGCTCTCCAGAGGGAGTCTGTGCTCCTTATGGGGGTTGGGGTTGGGGTTGTGGGTGGGGAGACAAAGGGAAGTGCAAGTCCAAAAGAGATTGGTGGGCACTGGCGGCCTGCCTCTCTCAGCGGGATTACCAAGAGGCCCAGGCCAGGTGGGGCGTTAGAGGCAGGGAGGACGCGGAGGGAGGCGCTTCCCCTGGGCCTGCCGGGCCCTGGGGGTAGGTGGAGTGGGTGGTGGAGTCGGGAGGCGGCGTCATGCAGGGCAGGAATTCTCTGAACCGGGCTGTTCGAATCGGGCTCTCCCCGTGCGGGGCTCCCTGAACCCCGGCCCCGCGGTGGGCAGGGAGCGGGGCCCCGGCCCGTATTCCGCCCCCTCCCGGGGCAGCCGAGGGGCAGCGGGAGGCCGGGGTACAGAGTGACTCAGAAGCGGGTGCTCTGGTAGCGCAGCCTCCGCAGGTCTGCCAGGCCGTCGGCGCGGCCGTACACCTCCCCGCAGGGGCTCTCGGCCAGTCACCGCGCCCCGGCCCCGCCGCCCCCGCCGCTGCTCAGGCCGCTGCCGCTGCTGCTGCCGCTGCTGGAGCTGCCGCTGCTGCACCGGTCCTCGTAGATGGAGATCTCGATCTGGGGTGGCGTTAAGGAGCGTGCTGGGCGGGCGGGCCCCCGGGGCAGGCGGCCAGCCGGGAGACCGTGGGCAGGCAGGAGCGGCCGCGCGGCGCACGCGCGCTCTCGGCTCCGCTCCGCCCCGCGTGCAAGGCAGAGCTGGGGGTTGGGGCTAGGGGCTGCGGGGTTGGGGGCTAGGGGCTGCGGGGTTGGGGGCTAGGGGCTGCGGGGCTGCCGGGCTGGGGACTGCGGGGCTGCCGGGCTGGGGCTGCGGGGATGCTGGGCTGTGGGGCTGGGGACACGGGTATGCAGGGCTGTGGGGATGCGAGGATGTGGGGCTGGGAGCTGCAGGGATACAGGGCTGCAGAGATACAGGGCTGTGGGGATGCAGGGATGCAGGGCTGCAGGAATGCGGGAATGCAGGGCTGCGGGGATGCCGGGATCCCCGTTTACGCTAGCGGGTCTAATTCCCAGTCCCATGGTGTTCCGGCGGTAAGGGTGGGGGCTAACGTGGGGAGCTGAGGGCAGGTCCTCACTTCCCTCCCCTCCCCCCACTCTCAAGCCAGGAAACCTTAGACCCGTCGCTTATGACTCTCCGTTATTGCTATGGAACAGGGGTAATGGGAGCCTGGAGATTGTTGTAAGGATGAAATGAAATCATGTGTGTAGAAACACTGAGCCCAAATGCTCTGCAAATAGTAAGGGCACAATAAACAGAAATATCTCTCAGTGGGCATTGAAAATGAGAGTCTGGTCATGATGTTTCTTTTATCCTCTCCTCTCTAGTAACATCTGTTTCTTCCTTGGAGATAGAGGGTTTTGTTTTGTTGGGGTTGGGGGGGCGCACACTGTGGTGCTGGGGAATTATATGGCTGAGGAATCAAACATGGCACCATGCCCATGCAAAGTGAGTCACCTGCCCACCCCAGATTTTTTTCTTTCTTTCTCTTACTTTCTTGCTTGCTTGCTTGCTTGCTTGCTTTCTCTCTCTCTTTCCGGTTTCTGGCCACACCTGGAGGTGCTCAGGGCTTGCTCTTGGGTCTGTGCTCAGGGATCACTCCTGCCAGGTTCTAGGAACTATACAGGGTGCTGGAGATCCAACCTAGGTCAGTCACGTGCAAGGCAAGCTCCCCACTGCACTATCACTCCCGCCCTGAGATTTATTTCTTAACCATCTGGTGACCTGGCTGTAGTCTGTGGGAAGAAAGTATGCATGCCCTGAGCTCATTTTCCAAGAGACATCGGGAGATCTTTGACCCAGACCCACTCCTATTGCCTCCCGCCTTATTCCACTGTTCTCATCCATGAATAGAACTATATGACACAGTGCACGTGGAAAGAGAAGAGATTTGCATATGCCTTGTGGGACAGTGCAGCCTGGTGGTTAAGAGTGGCTCTAGCATGCCATGCATGCAAGGAACCTGGTTTCTACCCCGGGCACTGCATGGTCTCCCAGCCACCAAGTACTCATGCTCCCTGAGCACCACCAGGTGTGGTCCAAATTTAAAAAAAAAATAATTAAAAAATAGAAAAAGTGGACTGGAGCAATAGCACAGTGGGTAAGGTATTTGCTTTGCACACGGCTGACCCAGGTTCAATTCCCAGCATCCCATATGGTTCCCCAAGCACTGCCAGGAGTAATTCCTGAGTGCACGAGCCAGGAGTAACCTCTGTGCATCGCCGGGTATGACCCAAAAAGCAAATAGAAAAAAGAAAAAAGAAAAAGTGGTCCTGGGCCCAAATCCTGCCTGACATTCACCAGCTGAGCGACCCTGAAACCCATCTTCAGTGTCCCCTTCTAGTGAGAGTATCCCGCCTTTCAGGGGTGTCATCAGAATCACAGGAAATCCTGGGTTCACAGTACTGATCTCAGGCTGGAAATGAGCACTGGTTAAATGCAGCTCATAAGGCAAACCCTAAAATGCCAACGTAACACCACGTTGTAGTACATTACTTGTAGTAATGGGGAGAAGCAGTGGTAGAGATTGGTGATCCTAGAAACACCCTCCTCAAAGGTCCAAGGAGGGCGGGCTCCCCAGGTCCTGGAAGCCTCACTAACCGGGAAGCCCCCTCTGCCTGCCGCACCTCGCCAGGAGACAGCTCAGACAGGAAGGATATAACTCTCATGCCACGCTCCACTGGGTCGGTGAGCAGGAGGCCACGCGGGGCGAAGATCTTCTCGTTCTGCTCCTGGATATAGCGGGAGATCTTCTTGAGCACCTGCAAGGAAAGGACAATTGGAGGACACAGGTGAGGCTGAGCACCATGGTGAGGTCCTGGGAGGGGGCTGCGGGTAGGACACTACCTTCTCGTAGTGGGTCTCCATGCAGAGGAAGATGAAGTAGGCGGTGGCACAGGCCAGGCAGCCCTCCAGGTAGGAGCTTCCCCCAATCTTCTCCGCCTCCGAGTAGAAGCTGTTGAGGGTCTTCACTGTCTCCTCAAAGAGCTGCCGCTCGATCTGGCAGGGAAAGGGGAGGTGAGGCTAAGTCAGCCTTCCCAGAGTGTGGGCAGACAAGAGGGAGGGGGGAAGGGGTTGCGGGAATGGGGACATATCCTGGGGAAGGAGGGAGTACACAGGCAGAACCCATCCATGCTACTGTGTAGCAGAGAGAGCACAGGAATGGGTCTCCAAAAACCTGGGGGCTGGGGAAAGGGGTCCAAAGCATGTGCCTGTCATCACGAAAGCTCATCCACCATCCCTGTTCCAAAGGCTCATAAATAAATCTTGAAAGAGCTCAACTAAAAAAAAAAAAAAAAGCAGAGAGAGAGAGATTTCTCGGACACCCATTCCCAGCAGAGACCTCTGGGCGATCTCCTATCGGGGCAGGGCAAACAAAGCCCTAGCAGATGCTGCCACACCCCCAAAGCCAGCACCATGCCTCTAGCCAGACAGTCCAGTTAAATATTGGGGACTTTCTGGAGCTTGCAACCACATTCGTGGCCAGGCGGCATCTCCAAAATGTACAGCACTGACATCCCAGTAGCAGCACACCAGATTGGATGGGAATGTAATGAGGAAATCAACCAATCTCAACTAACAAAAACCATTAACACAGAAGATTTAACTTGCATCAACAGCTTACTAAACAGTCAGATCAGGAGTTAATGTCCCTGTGGTAGCACTGTAGCACTGTCCTCCCGTTGTTCATCGATTTGCTCGAGTGGGCCCAGTAACGTCTCCATTGTAAGACTTGTTGTTACTGTGTTTGGCATATTGAATATGTCACGGGTAGCTTGCCAAGCTTTGCCATGTGGGTGAGATACTCTCGGTAGCTTGCCGGGCTCTCCCAAAGGGGCAGAGGAATCAAACTTCGGTTGGCCGGGTCAGCCGCGTACAAGGCAAACACTCTCCCCACTGTGCTACTGTGGTAATATACAATAATTTTCATAAGTTTTCTTCTATGGGAATATTTTTAAATCATTTCCTTAGCCATTGAATGGTAACAAGAAATATAAAATAAATTATTGTGGGCCTGCTATGGGGGTAGGCTTTAGAGATGGTTGGGAAAAATGGAGACAACAGTTGAAGGAAGAAGATAGAGCAATGGGATTTCTGTTGGCATACTGAATGCCTGTAGCACATCTTTTGTAAACCAAGGTGTTTAAATAAAGTGGGGAGAGAAAAGTGCATGTGCCTTGAATGTTAGAGGTCCAGGGTTCAATCCCCCCACACTGCTGACCTGGTGAACCCTGAGCACCACCAGCTGTGAACCCTCTTCCTCAAAATAAGCTTTATGGACCAGAGTTAATCATCAACTAGCTGCATGACCCTAGGACTAACAACTTAGCTCCTGCTTCTAGAAATCAGCAATGGCTACTCAGTCTCCCTTGAAAACAGCCAAGTCCCCAAAATTCTAGGCATGAAAATTTTCTGCAGAGGATCAGGCCCGAATTCAAGTGCCTTTGCCACCTCCCATCTGACAGCTGTCAGAGCACTCTGAGCCTAACTGTCAGCCCCTCCCCTTATCTGGATGGAGCTAACTGAGGGGCACTCAGGAGTTCTCCCCGGAGGGTCATGTCCCCTAGTGAACTGCCCCCCACACCCGCCAGCCCCATGCGCTCAAAGCTCTCCTGCTGCACCCCCCTAAACAGCATCTCAAACATGCACCTGGGCTCCCTCTGTCTAAACAACAGAAGCATGTCAGCACCCTCCCCTCCCATAAGTCTCTGACCTCAGTGCCTCTCCCCAGGACCAGCCCTGCCTAGTGAAGTCAGGTCACCACCTGGATCAAGAGCTTCCGGGCCTAGGAAGGAGAAGGAGCCAAAGACTTGCTGGGGCCTTGACCCAGCCCATGGCACACCCAGGAGCTGCATCTGCAAGCAGGGGCTGGGGCAGAGCCCTAGTTCCTGGTCTCAGTGCCACCACAGAGTGTCCGCTAGAGCCCAGGTGAGGAGGGGGAAGGAAATCAGTGTCCAGCCCTGCTTCCAGGCTGCTACAATCACCTGGACATGACTCTGGTCACAAAGGCCGCTGCCTTCATCTGTACCCACAGAGGCTGCAATTATGTCCTTAGCAGATGAGTACATGAAAAGACCCTCGAAGTTCAGATCCCTTTCATCCCAACTCCCTTTGGAAAGTCACTTCTCTGAGGCTCCAACTAAATGAGGGGGCTGGACTACAGGGCCGTTCAAATGCTGACACATCGATGCAGTACCCAGAGAAATTGGGTACATTTCCCAGAAAATGGGAAATTTTCCCATTTCCCAGAAAATGGGAAACTGCAGAGGTGAGTCCTCGAAAGAGGTGAGGGGGAGTGTCAGAACCTGTAGTTCTGGAGGCCGTCGGATATTGCTGCTCCTCAGACCACAGTTTCTGTTCAAATGCTGAATGGTTCTCAACTCAAGTGCACCCTAAAATCACCTGCGTAGCTGTCAGAGTGTAGACATGCCCAAACCACACCTCTAAGAGATTCTTATCCCAACAGTTTGGAAGTGGGCGGTGATGGGAGAGGAACAAAGACCATCCCAGCCTCCTCTGTCCGTCACAGATTTCTCCAGACTTCCCAGGTGGCTCCAGCTGGAGCAGAACAGACCAGCTGTCGTGGGGTTGCTGGCCACCAGGTCTACCTCACTGGACTGCAGATAGGAGCCTCCACCCCACAGCACGGCTGCTGAGGGAGTAGGCAGCAATGCTGACCTGGGCCCCACTCCCAGAGGCTCAGTATAATGGCACTGGGCTGCAGCCTGGATTTGTTTGATTTCCGTAAGCTCTCCCAGAATCTTATGTGCAGCAGGGGTAGTAAGCGGCTTCTGAGAAGCCGAGAGTCTGGAACTTCCTCCAATAACTGAGTCAGCATTTCTGAGGACACCTAAGATCAGGCTGTGGAAGAATTTACGTTTGTTGAACAAGCTCTTTGCTAGACCAGGAAATCTCGGGTTTCTTCAGATGTAGAGTGTGTGTGTGTGTGTGTGTGTGTGTGTGTGTGTGTGTGTGTGTGTGTGCGCGCGCGCGCACATGTGGTGTTTGGGGTCTATACTGGCAGTCCTCAGGAGCTATTCCTGGCTTGGTGTTCAGGGGTGATTCCAGGAGGTGCTCAGGGCTGAGGGTGAGATCCGGGCCTCCCACATACAAAGAACAGACTCCAGGTCTTTAAGCCATCTCCCCTGCCAACTCCCAGTTTCAAGAAAGCAACAACAAGACAACAATAAGGATATTTCCAAGGGGGGTGGGAGTGGGGAAGGGGAAAGCTCCCGAGATATTCATCAGATCTAGGACTGGCAGTGGCACTCAGCCAACTAGCCACACGGGTTAATGCTAAAGGCCAGAAATGTGGTGCTTCTTGGACCCAGTGGTTCTGGGGGCCCCTAGGACCATGCCCAGTAGTCAGGGAAGATGGTGGGGGGGGGGGGGTGCTATGCAATGCTAGGGATGCAAGTCAAGCACTTGCCATGCAAGGTGTGTGGCCCTGATCCCGGTCCCAAGGATGTTTCTCTTACCTGTGACAGCATCAACATCACATTTGTGTCAAACATCACTTTTGTTACCTGAAGCATGCGCCTGCCTCAGGCCCTCAGTTCCCTCCCAGCCTGTACTCCAGGTCTGGACAAAGACCTTCTTACCCGGCTGTCCAGCTCAGGGGGGAATTTGGTCTGGAACTGGCAGATGGTTCCATCGCTGTAGTCTCTCTGGATGAAGACCTTGGTGGCCAGGGAAGCACTGCGCCGCAGCTCCTGCAGATTGTGCACCTACAGAGATGACAGACACAGACTCAGATATGGAACCTTCCAGATCTGACCAAGGCCCAGGGGCGTGGGGAGGACGGAGGGGGTGATGGGTCCTGCAGGGTAAAACATCAGGGCAAGTCAGCCACCTCACACATGTTCCAGCAAGATTGTGGGGAACCAGGACCCCAGAGATACCTCAAGCAAGTGTCCCCCCTCCCCTAGAAAGATCTAGAAAAAAAACCCAAGAGAAGGTCAACAAAAGGTGTTCTGAAACCATCGAGAGAGCCGGAAACTGTTTTCACAGAAGACATCCTAGTGGCTGGTTTAAGATGCTCTGTCTTGGCCCTGTCCCTCCCTCTCTCTCCCTGACTGATGCACACCCATTCACTCAAGAGCATCAAATCAAATGTTGACAGCTTGGAGAAGCCAGCACTGAGCCAGACTCTGCGGTGTGGGGCCAACAGAATGGGTGCTGAGCAGCACGTGGGCAAGATGAGACTTGCCAGGAACCCAGAGACCAGTTTCTCGCCTGGCAGCCTGCACGAGAGAGCACAAGGATGGTTTTCTCACCCAGAAACACTCCCCATGTGGAAAATAGGAGCCCATGGCCCATAAGCTTCCGGCAACAAGGCAGACAAAGGGGGATGAAGCCTGGATGGACATTCCCCTCTGCCCTGGCAGGAAAGGATGGGAGACATCTGTCACTTGTCCAGCCTGCACTCCCAACACAGACTAGTGAGTGAGGAGGGGTGTAGGTTCAATCCCACCTGAGAATCAGACTTCTGTCTTCCAGCTTCAATGACCCGTGCTCAAGACAAGCATCGCACTGAGTAAAATATGTCAAACACTGGAGTCCTGTGGACCACGAGCCCCCAAGGCAGACCGAGCCGCCAGTAATTAAGGTGAAACCACTCAGCCACTCCTTTGTCACTTATTGAGTCCCCACTACTGCCCAGCTCCAGGGAAGCAGAGCAAATGACAGTCTGTGAGCTCCAGGGAGGAAGCGAGTAAATAAATAATGAATTGGACTGTGACAAATGCTACCAAGAAGTAACAGCTTACTCAGAAAAAGCTTCCTGAAGTCTGTGTGAAGATATAAAGAAAAGAAAGGCCCTCACAGGGGGAGAGGGCAGGCAAGAGTGGGAGACAAAGGAAGTTCAGCCCAGACACAGTGAAATCTGGGGCAAATAGGGTAAGGAAGGTCTCCTCCAATGACAAATTTCAGCAAGTTTCAGCAAGGCTGGAGTTGGTTTGAACAGATCAGATAAGGACAGTAGGGGGATAATAGAACAGAAGCCACAAAGGTTAGATCTCGAAGAATGGAGGAGGGGGTTTGAGGAGGGGCAAAGGGAGGGGGCGGGGGGGGGGGGCGGATTCTAACAAAGGGGCGGTTTTAAGATGCAAGATTCTTACACTAGCATAGAAGCTGGGAAGAGAATGAGAAAACTATCAATATGGCAATCAGAACAGAGCACTGATAGGTCACGATACTGAAAAGGTGTGAAGGAGATATTCCCAAGTCCAAGGAATCTTGCTCTTGGGAGAGATGTGATCCCAAAAAGTAATGATCGGTCTAAATAACATACAGGTGATCCTCTGTTCTCCAGATTTTGACAGAGCTGGGGATGTGGCTCAGTGGTAAAGCACCTGCCTTGCATGTGTGAGGCCCTGGTTCAATCCTTGAAATTGTATTCAGCGAACAAAAGGATATTTTGGTAATATAATAAGCTACTTTCCAGTGGTTCTGCTTCATCTAATTAAGGACATATACTTTGTGTGTTAAAAATAAAATATGTGCACTTCAAAAGTCCACTTATCATAGATCTTAAAGATGGAGCCCAAGCCCCAGAAACTTTGGGAGGAACCCTGGTGGGGGCCTGGCCAGGGTGGAGAGCCAAGGAGAGGGTGGCTGTCAGCCGTCCAGGGGAAAACCAAAGTGGGTCTAAACCAATAAAACAAGGATGCATGTGGTGAGCTGCTGGAACCATTGGCGTCTTCCTCCAAGCACACTGCTGGATAAATTCCCAGCCTCTGTTGTGGTTGGATGTAGCATGTGACTGAATGTCATGTGAGCAGAAGGATAGATGCTGTGCATAGACCAGTCATCCTGTGATCCTTCCCTTCCATGCAAACCAAAAGAGCCTTGTGTGGAATCTGGTGAAACACACAGGGTGGAAGGAGTCTGGAACCCTGAATTAATGCCTGGAGGAGATCTACCAATTGTTCTGGAACACCTTCTAGGGAATGACATAGCAGGAAATACACTTTCATGCCTCGCAGCCACCGAGGCTCCATGGCTCTACTTTGCACAACACAGATCTACTTCCTCTTGGCTTTAGTCCATGGATTCTCAAGTAGCCAGAGTGGGAGGAGTTGAGATTCTTTTTGTTTTCTTGGTTTTTTGTTTCATTGTTTTGGGTCTAGTGCTCAGGGCTTACTCTGGGCTCTTCACACAGGAATTACTCCTGGTGGGTTCAGGGGACCATATGGGACAGCAAGAATTGAACCTGGGTCAGCCATGTACAAGGTAAGCACTCTACCCATTGCACTATCATTCTGACCCTGAGGAGTCAAGAATCTCTCCAATAGTACGCTGAGCCTCAGAATGCTGTCCTGCCTCTGGCTGGCTAGGGGCATGTTTACTGGATCGGGTGGAATTGCTACTACATGCTATCAGATACAGTTTACATGCAGAACCTTAGTCTTCCAGATCTAGAACACATACATCACAGACTCAGCTGCAGTTGGTGAAGAGCAGGAGTTCGAGCAAGCAGGATCACCCAGTTGTCCCCATTGCCAGGGACTCTCTTGTGAAGTGCAAAAAAGCTCTACATAAGCTGACCACACTGTCAGCAGGGAGGCATTTCTCCTAGACATTAGTCCTGGTCACAGGGTCCTGGGGACCTCTTCACTTCTATGGATCCCCATTTTTTCTTCAACTGGGAACGGAGATGATGAAGTTCATCTCCAGAATAGCTTAGTCCTTCTGGCTCTGGTTTTCAGAAGCTTTTTCAGGGATTATGCACACAAATGTAGACAGGGGTGTGGCTAAGCAGAGAGCTCCCAGCCTGTCTCAGGAAAGCAGCTGTCATCACCCTCTGAGAAAAAGAGCCAACGGAATACCAGAGCACAATGTAATGTATTAAGAGAAGCCAAAATCCAGATTCTTTCGTGGAATATATCTTGATTCTGTTAATGCTTCCAATACATCGTTTCCATTTGTAAGCACTAGGCAGACCATGTGAGGCGTACCTGTGAAAGCATTCCTGGAGCTGCCCATTAGGATCTAAGTAAGAACAAAGCCCTTGGCAGGGGCCCTTGAACCAGAGCTAGAGCCGGGCTCTGACTACTTGCCAAGGACTTATCTTGGAAAAAGCTGGTGGAGGTTTCCATGAAGTTCTATGAAGCACTGAAGTCCGACGAGAGGGTCCTAGAATATGCATTCACCCCTCTCTGAGGTCACATGTGCTGCTCCTGAGCATCACTTCTGGGGTTTCTTCATTGACCAAGATTCCTGGCTCACTTCTACCTTCCTAGGCCTCTCCATTACCCTCCCGGTCCTTGGGCTGCTGATGGAGGACCAAGAGGGATTTCATGAAGCAGAAAGAGGAAACCCATGGGGAGATCTGCACCCATGATTTCCCAGCTACAAGGGTTTGGGGTGGGGGCTGTTGGAGAGGGGCCACCACAGGGCCCCCTTCAGACCTCTCTGCCCAATAGCATCAGCTTGGTGGAAGGAGCCAGGGGAGCACACCGGGGTATAGAGGTGCTGTCCCCAGACACATCTGCCCAAGACAAGCCAGAGCCTCATCTGGTTCACATCACCATCCTCATTAAAAACCGGCTAATTCCCAAGGATGCATTTGAGGCTTCACTCAGGGCTCAAGAGATGCAGCTCATGATCCGACGCCTTTCTCTCTGCCTGGGCTGTGGAAGATGAGTAGAGTTCGTGGGTCACATGCAACCAAGTCAGGCCTGAGGCCGGAGCCGGGGCACAGGGGCCTCCCTTCTCAGCCTCGAGGGCCCAAGCCCAACCCTCTGCTCTGGGTAGTCCCCAGGCCTCTGAGATCCAGATCCAATCTCCAGACAGCACTGGGGTACATTTCAAACCCTCTTGGGGGTCAGATCCCACCCTTTGGAGGAGCCCCTGCAGCAGGCATTTTCCGGGTTGGCTTGGTGACCCAGACTGTTTTCCAGCTGCGCCCTGTTCCCTGTGACACATATTCACAGAGGCTGGTCGCTCAGGAAGTGGGCTCATTTCAGCTTCCCAAATGAGGTCAGTGTCACACAGGAGGCTCCAGCCAGCCTCTGCAAGGCTCTCACACACACACACACATGCATGCACGCGCGCGCGCGCACACACACACACACACACCTTCCCTGATGCTCGGTCCTAGACAAAACTTAGGGAGTAGAAAGATTGAGGCCTCTGCCTTCAATCAGAAAACTGGGCTGTCCAACCTGCCTCCCTGCCTGTCTGTCTCTGGCTGTCTCTTGTCTCAGTCTCTGTCTCTTATCTCTGTCTCTGTCTCTCTGTGTCTCTGTCATCTCTGTCTCTGTCATCTCTGTGTCTCTGTCGTCTGTCTCTGACTCTCTGTCTGTCTCTGTATCTCTGTCTCTGTCTTTGTCTCTGTCTCTCTCTTTCTTTCTCTCCCTCCTTCACTCCCTCCCTCCCTTCACTCCCAAACACCTGCCATCTCTAAGGACTTTTTAAGCAGAATTTTACAGGAAGTGCCATGGGAGCTTCCTGGGAGGTTTTGCTTCTCCCAACAGGTTTTTCCTGGTCATCTGTACCCCCAGCCTTACAGGACAAACAGTCCGGGATGGGTGACTCACTTGGTAGCCCAGACAATGGCACATCCTGTGTCTTGGCAATGATAAGATTTCTTCCCTTAGTGTTTCCAACAGAGTCCAACCAAGACTATGTTAAGAAGTGGCCAGTTTCAGGAGAAAAAAAAAGTAGCCAGTGGAGGGCCAGAGAAATAATACAGTGGGTAGGGTGCTTGACTTGCATGCAGTTGATCCAGGTTCAATCCCCGGTATCCCGTATGGTCCTGAGTACCACAGGGAGTGCTCCATGGGTGTACAGCCAAGAGTAAACCCTGAGTACTGTGAGGAGGGGATTCCCCTGCCCACCCACAACCCCACCAAAAAAGTGGCCAGTGATAATCCTTAGTTCCTTGTCCCTCTGAACATTCCTGTGCTCTTCCACCTCAGGCTGGCCCTGCCAGGTCTATTAGGGGATCTGAATCGTCTGCCCTTCCTGTGCTCCTTGATGTCCCACCCCTTCCCATCAAAGCCACATGTCACCCCCCTGCCCACCAGCATTCCTGCCCAGAGGGGAATGCAGTTGTCTGTCAGATGCTCCTGAAAGCAGGCGAAGCACTGGCCCAGGAGGCAGACGCCAGGTCTGAATCCTGGTCTTGCTGTGTTCTAGTCTCCATTCCTCAAATAAGTCTCAGTAGTGGGGTGCGTCATCTGTAAAATGGGATAATGATGCCTCCCCAGCTCCCTCACAGGAGCCAGACAAGCTTCTGAGCCTCGGATGTCTCATCAGCTAATTGGGGATAATAATACCATCCTTCGGCCACTTCACAGGGTTGCTGCAGTCTCCAAGGAGATCCCGCCTAGGCCAGGGCTTTGTACACAAGAAAGTGCTCTAGTCACAGAGGCGTTACGAGAGTCTCCCAGGGGAGGGCCAGGCGCACCTGACAGCAGCCTCCTAGAAACAGCCTCATCCTAGAGCTGGGAGCCTCCGGCTTGGCCTCCAGAGGCTCTGGGTAGCTGCCTGGTCATAGCCCTGCCCTCGCTGCTGGGTCCCACTTCCTGCCCACTCACAGCCGTTGCTGCAGCCCGGCCACCCTGGCTGGAAAGTGACCAACTCCTCTGTCCTTTCTCCCTTTCTCCTTGTTCTATTCATCTCAGCTTGCTTGTACTGAGCGACCTTCTCTGTCCACTCCAGAAACTCAGCTCCATAGGTCTGCCCAGGGTTTGGCCCCCTCATGAGGCTGGACGGCGGCTGGAGGTGGGGATGGTCTCCTCCAAAAGCCTGGGTCAGTCAGAGCCGGTTCCCAGCAAGGAGCCAGCACTCAGGGAATCTCCGCAGTGGCACTTGGTATTGATGTCACGGGCTTGCAGGGAAGCCCCCGTGCACTGCAGAGAATGACTCCAAAGGCTCAGCTCTCCCCCTCTAGGGGAGAAATGGGGGAAATCCACAGAAGTGGTGCCAGGACTGGGGGACCCTGACATGCCAGGCATCATGCCAGACAGTCAAAGAAAGAAACCTCGAGCCCCACTGGCGCCTGCTGAGGGGGTGTCACTGGGCTGTGCCCTTTCCCCTGTCAGCTGCGCCTTGGATAAAGGGCCCCGAAGAGCTCCGGTTCCTTCTGAAATGAGGGGAATGGAGAGCTCATTCCTGCTCCCCAGAGCCTCGCATCAAGCTCCTGCCCTCTGTCAACAGGTGCCTGGAGGTCCAGCTATTAGGTGACTGAAGGCAGGTGCACCTTTCCCATCACACACAGGAAATGGGGACATCCTGATCCGGCCAGCTCCAGTGAGAGGGACAAACCGCCACTGCCAAATGAATAGTGCGGGCAGCTCATTGAACCCCACCCACCGGGGCTCCGGTCCTGGGGTCTCCCCCTCGGGTCCTGGGGTCTCCCCCTCGGGTCCTGGGCCTGTCTGTCTCTTTCCCTGCCGCGGTGACGGAGGGGGGTGGGGGTGAGACTGTGCACGCAGGTCTGTCCCTTCTGAGCGTGGGGGGGGTGGGGGGGTGAGGAGGGGGTGGCCCCCCGCATAGGGACAGCAGCCGGCACCTCCCGACGCAGAACACAGGCACGGCTCCAAGCCTCTGGGGAGCGATTCCAGGACGTTCGGTGCTGGAGAGAGTGGGGAACCTCGGCTGTATCCCCGCGGCCACCTCATCGCTACTGCCAACAAGTGGCGCTGGCAGCTGCAGGGTGCAGCTAGGGGAAGACTGACCGCGGGGCTTAAGAGGCGCTGTCGGGAGAGGCTCCATCGGTCTGCCACCGCGTCCCTCCGGACCCAGCCCGGGACACCCCATCCCCTCCTCCCGGGTCCCTCCAGGTTCAGCCCGGGACACCCCATCTCCTTCTCCCGCGTCCCTCCGGACCCAACCGGGACACCCCCGTCGCCTCCTCCCGGGTCCCTCCAACCCCAGCCCGGGACACCCCCGTCGCCTCCTCCCGGGTCCCTCCAACCCCAGCCCGGGACACCCCCGTCCCTTCCTCCCGGGTCCCTCCGACCGCAGCCCGGGACACCCCGGTCCCCTCCCCCCGGCCGGGGAGTGGTCCCCTACCTCGGTGGCCATGATCCGGGAGCGCGGCGCGGCGGGGCGCGGGGCCGTCCGCGGTGCTGTCCGCGGTGCTGCTGCGGGCCGGGGCGCGGGGGGCTGCGGGGCCGCGCGGTACTGTCCGCGGTGCTGAGCCGGGGAGGCCGCGCCCGAGGCTCTCCCCCGCCGGCTCGGGCTGCTCCTGCGGGCAAGCAGCGGCGGTTCGGTGTCGGGCGGCGCCGGCGGGCGTGGGGGCGGCGGGCGGAGGAGGGGCCTGCGGCTCGGCGGGCCGGGAGGGGGCGCGGCGGCCCCCAGACCCGCAGCAGCCCCGCCCGGGCCCGCGCCTCGGCGCCCGCTGGGCCCAGGCCCCGCCTCCCCGCGCCCTCCCCCCGCCCCGCGCGCCCGCCCCAGCCCGGAGGGACCGCCCGGCCCCGGGCTCGAGCCCGCCCCGGAGCTCCGGCTGGAGTTTCCACCACCCCTCCCCCTTCCCCCGACCCTGCCGCCTTCCCGGCTCCCCTCTCGGCGACCCCCACCCTGAGCTGGCGGCCACGACTCCGCTCGGCCTCCCTTCCTCCCAGGCGCCGGCGGCTGCGGACTGCGGAGAATCCTTCCCTCCCTTCCAGCGCTACCCTGGGGTCCCCTCCTTCCTCGAGCTCTGCAAATACAGCCGCTCCCTCCGGGGGGCCCCTGCCCGGCCCCACCCCGTTCTCTTCTCCTCCGCTCCCCAGTGTACACACAGCGGAAGCCACACGCAGACGTGCACGGAGGATGACGGCCTTGGAGCAGCCGAACCGATGACCTGGCTGGCGCTCTTAATAAGCACGGAAGCACCTATGCAGGTGCCTTCCCAGCACGCTGGCAACCCAACCAGTGGGAGCCCGCGGCACCCTGCGGGGTCCCTTCGTCCACTCTGCTGCGGGGGACCACCACAGCCAGGAGATGGGCTCTGTGACCTTGACCTCGGGCAAACTTCCCGTCTGGGACTTCACATTTCTTTTTTTTCAGCTTTTAATTCTGAAATTTTCAAACATCCAGGAAAGTCGAAATTAAATACACTAGATACAAATATATAACACACTGTTCACATAACTTCAGCCATGGTCAGCCTTTGGCCACATTTGCTTGATGAAGAGATTAAAGAAATGTAGAGATTTCCATTCCAATCACTGCCATGGTCACAGCGAGACTCCACAGTCTCTGGTAGAGCCTCACCCAGGAATGAATCTGTTGAAAAACTCAGGTATATGGGTGTTGTGACTGAAACCTCCAGGCTCTCATGAGTCGGGGCTGGGGGACCTCTTCCCATGTTCCCATGCTTCAGGAACCTGGCAGTGACGGCCATGGACTGTCTCTGGCGCCATATAAGCACATTAACCTGCCATGATTCAGAGACTCAAATAAATCTCAAAAGAGATCAACAAGCTGCAGAGATGCTTCCAGACCCCAAAGTCAACATCCAGTTAAAAATTTAACTCCGGGGGGTATGGTGCTGCCAACAGGTCAAATCTGTACCCATGAGGCGAGTGCATCAGCAGCCTCATGGTGCCTTCAGACTTCCAGATACCCCAAAATTGCTGCTGTGCCTTTGACCAGACCCCAAAAACTTGGGGCAAAGTTTACCAAGGAAGTAAATTGCCAAAAGTTAGGTATGTGGGAGACACACCCACAAACCATCTCAGGCTCAGCTATATAATTGGAGGCATGGCCTCTCTGGTTCCTGATCGAACTGCTTAACGGCCATGATCCCAGAGACTCAGAAACAAATCTCGAAATCCAATGGCTTTTGGCAAAAATGCATCCAGTCCCTGCAGTAAGTTACAGGCACTGGGCCACCCCAGGTGGGAATAGGTTTTGTGCCTTGGCCTGTTCCCCCTGGCGGCCCAGTGGCTGCCATCCTCCAGAGGCCACTGGAGAGTCAGGTTTGGGCCCACAGTGATGAGACACATGGGGCCTCACGGGATGCGGGCGGAGTCAGCCCTTTCCTCCCCATCCCAACAATACCACAAGTCGTCACCCACAAACGGCCTCTCTGGCTCCTGATCAAGCTGCCTAAAGGCCATAATCCCAGAGACTCAGAAACAAATCTTGAAACCCAGCGGCTTTTGGCAGAAATGTGTCCGGACCCAGCAGTAGGTTACTGTCGCCAGGCCACCCTAGGGGGGAAGGGTGCTGTCCCTCCACCTGCTCCCCCTTGACGGCTCGGTGGCCGCCATCCACCAGAGGCCATTGGACAGTCAGGTTTGGGCCTGCAGTGACAAGACACGTGGGGCCTCACAGGATAGGTGTGGAGCCGGCCCTTTCCTCCCTGTCCCAACGAGACCCCAAGTCACCGCCCATGAACGGCTTTTCTGGCTCCTGATCAAGCTGCTTAACGGCCATGATCCAAGACACTCAGTAACAAATCTCAGAACCCAGCAGGTTTTGGCAGAAATCCCTCCAGATTTAATTGTTAAAATTTTGTAATTTCAAAATCACGCAGCCACTGTTGCAGCCACGAGACATCATATGTTATTCATAACCAGCAATAGAAAACAAATTGTCTACTGTTGCCTGTTCAGCAGATCTGAGTGTTGGGGTAAAATTCCAAATAATAGTGGTGGGTCTGGTGTCAAAATATTGAAAGTAATCAAAGTAGAGAGAGTAATTTGGAAATCATCTGCCCCACAGGTAGGGAGAGGGTGTGGGAAGGGGGTATACTGGGGTTTTGGGGGATGGAGAATGGGCACTGATGAAGGTATGGGTGTTTCATTATATGGCCGAGACTTAAACCCGAAAGCTTTGTGACTGCTCTCACAGTGATTCAATAAATAAAATTGTTTAAAAAAATGGGGGAAAAAAGTAAGGTGGAATTCATGTTCAATTCAATCAGCTAATCAGTGGCTGAATAAATAGCAGTACTCCTACATAAAAAAAAAAATTCAACTCCAGCTCTATTACCCCATTCTGAATTTTAGAATTCCCCGAATATACAGGAATGCCATGCAACATCTCAAATTCTATACCACTGATATATCAGGAGTAACACACCACATTGGACAGGATGTAAAGTAGAAGGCAACCAATCTCGATTAAGAAAATATTAATGACAAAGCTTAACCTATAAAAATATATTAGTAATCTCTTATACAAGGGCTTGTATCCAGGGTGAGATACAATAATCCTCACAAATGTGAAAGAAATCTTCTAATGAAATCTTTTTTGATCACTTTTAGTGAATTATTCATAACAAGAAATATAAAATAAATTACTTAGGGCCTGCTATTGGGGCAGGCTTGGGTGGTGGTTAGGAAAATTGGAAATAATGGTGGTGGGAAGGTGCAATGTAGTGGAATTGGCGTCGGAATGTAATAAATCATTGTGAACAACTTCATAAAAATATCACTGTCCTCCCGTTGTTCATCGATTTGCTTGAGCGGGCCCAGTAACGTCTCCATCGCTAGACTTTGTTGCTACTGTGTTTGGCATATAGAATACATCACGGGGAGCTTGCCAGGCTTTGCCATGAGGGCGAAATACTCTCGGTAGCTTGCCGGGCTCTCCGAGAGGGGTGGAGGAATTGAACCTGGGTTGGCCGGGCTGGCTGCGTGCAAAGCAAACGCCCTACCCGCTGTGCTATCGCTCCAGCCCTCATAAAAATAAAATTTAAAAAAATCAAAAAGATGTGGAGATTTGGCTATATTATTAAAAAGTGAGAGGCAGGCATTGGAAGGCTTGATTCTTAAGCTATGCATCTCCTAAGTATAAGGAGTTTTCCTGCCGGTAATACCATAATGTGGTCATCAGAACTTCCAATTTCCCATGTCATCTGATATTCTCAGAACATTTGGTGTCCCCCAAACTCATTAATAGCAATAAACCCTAAGAACTACCATGTGGAGGACACATCCGTCAGTGTTTAGGACTTACTCCTGGCTCAGTGTTCTGGGGTCACTCCCAGTGGGACTCAGAGTGGTGATGGCCTCAAACCAGGGTCAACCAATAAGCAAGGCAAGCACTGCATCCCCCGTAAAATAGCTCTAGGCACAAGAACTTTCTGGTTTTTGTTTTGAGGGGTTGGGCAGGGAGGGGGTGGTGTTTGCTTCTTGGGTCACACCTAGTGATGCTCAGGGGTTATTCCTGGCTCCTGGCTCCTGGCTCTGCAATCAGGAATTACTCCTGGTGGTGCTTGGGGGACCATATGAGATGGTAGGGATCGAAACAGAGTTGGCCACGTGCAAGGCAAATGCCCCATCTGCTGTACTATCACTCTGGCCCAAGAACTTTCCATTTTTAATTAGTTATATTTACTGAGCACTTTCCACAGTTGGAGCATAAACTGCATTCTTTACAAGTCTTAGTTTATGTACTCCTCAAAATTACTCTTTTAGAGCTGCTATTCCTTTACTATTTTTAATTTACATATAAAGAAACTCTACCCGCTGTGCTATCGCTCCAGTTAGCACAGCGGTAGGGCGTTCACCTTACAAGTGGCCAACATGGCCGACCTGAGTTCGATTCCTCCGCCCCTCTCGGAGAGCCCGGCAAGCTACCGAGAGTATTCAATATGCCAAACACAGTAACAACAAAGTCTCCAATGGAGACGTTACTGGGCCCGCTCGAGCAAATCGACGATCAACGGGAGGGCCTTTACTTTACTTTACCTTTACTATAAAGAAACTAAGTGCATCACCTTTGGCCATGTGGTTGGTGAGGAATGAATGGAGGGAGGATTTGAAAGAGGGAGTCCAGTCCCAGAGCCTGTGTGATCTAGTATCCTCAGCAACTGCCTTCTTCCAACAGCTGGCAAACCCCAAACTGGCAGAGCAGTAACTGTATCCCCCACTGCCTTGCTCACAGATGAACACATTACGTCCCAGAGGAAAGGTGACATGCCAAAGGAGTTCAAGGCAGATGTTTTGTTCCACCCTTAGCATTTGGCAAATGATTTGTTATCAGGAGGCAAACTGAAAGCATCTGCTAATCCCATGGTGATCACCGGTAATAAATGAATGTATGATATAATGCTCTCCATGTATACCTCTCTCAGTTCCTCCCACTTGATTTTGATCAGATTAATTAAACACCCACCTGGAAATACTCTCTTCATCTGATGACTAGAGACCTGGATGACTACAATAATGAATCCATCCATTCAGTGTATGCTTAGCAATAGCTACAAGCATACCCTGTTCTTATGGGACTTATATATTAATGAGTATAGCAATAATATGAATGTGAATAAGTATAGAACCTGTTGTGGTCATTGCAAGGAAGAAGAGAAAAGCAGAGTAAAAAAAGAAATCTTTTTTAAAGGAAAATGGCTTGTGAAAGGGGGGTTGTGTTAGAAAGAATGATAGGGATGAGATTTGGAGCAGTGACGAAAGGAAGTGAGAGCACTACATGTGCAGAT